TAACCTTCACTGTTATTTGCATGGCAATGATTCTTACTTATAAATAATGATTAAATTATAAAAGATTTTCATGGTCATATATTGATTCAACGATCTTTATGAAATGAGTGAGTTTACTATCGTCGATATCAGTTATTATTGATATTCTAATAATTAGTTAATAGATTGACTTCACCAATCAAGTATTTCTTACATAAACGTGCAAAACAAAAGAATGATTGATATATATAATCAATTTTTATATAATATATCTATAAAGCCTCATGTAATAGAATCTAATTTTTATTAGAAACGGAAAAAAATTTTTAGTTTATTTTTTCCAATATTATTCGATTCCGTGAATCTAAAAATTAAGCAAATTTTTGTTCGAAAATGTAAGTTTACATTAAGTTATGACGATAATCGTATTTAGAATATCATTTTACCGTCACTTCAAAAATAGATTTTCATAGTTTGTGAAAAACTTTTTGAACATAAGAGGTGAACGAACTGGGCTGGGTTTTTTGTCCTTTTCTTTTCCTCTTGATTTATCTTAATGCTGTAATTACATTTTTTTAAATTCATTCAAATTAAAATACCAATCGTTTTTTTTAATTATTTTCTTCAATATAATAATAATTATTTGAGTATCAACATGAGTGACAATTTTTCAATTGCTGAAACAAAGTCTAAGACGAAAATTAGAAACAAATGTGGACGAATTCTTTCATTTTGACTAATAATCTTATAAAAAGCATGTTTATGCCATAAAAGAAATGAGAATTTTCGTACATTCAATTATTGTCATTGTTCCTTAAAATCTAACATCAATAAAAATTTGATATTTTCAAAATAAACTGATCAAAAGATATTGATCAGTCGAATACTGAAATGATCGTTGAATAAAAATTAACTGGCAAACACCTTTCTTTTAAATAAACAATCGTCTAAATTTTATACTCATCATTTATTTTTATACCTTTGTATAGAAAAAATCATTTTATATTATCATCTCCTATTCATATTTGTTATATAAAATTAACTGAAAATAACATTGTACTATGTCAGATATTGAACTGCATCTTTTTTTTAAAGTTATTTGTTATTAATTTAAAGAAATAAACTTGATTTATTCGAAGTTTATTTGTATGGCAATGGCTGTGTGACTTGTATCCGTGTATGCTTACGTCTAAAAAATGAGGGTTGAGTGTTTGAATATTGTAAGCTAACATGCACGATCGCCTACATCCCTCCAGCATACAATGGTAGCCAAATTGCTGTACGCCACCGCGCTGCCGTCAGCGCACAGCTCTCTGGTTGGTTCGGTGTTTTCGCTTGTTCTCTTTCTTTTTATTTAGTTGTTTGCTTGCTTGCTTCGTTCTCTTATTCTCTTTTCTAATGTTGCTCTTGTCCTTGCTTACTCGGTGCGCTCACTGCTGATGGTGGCGTTCGAATGGCAACAACATTGACGCAGAAACAACAAAGAGTAGCCGTCGTCACACAAACGAGCAACGGATGAAACTTATGTCTTTATCCATCTATCTCTATTTCTCTTAATAAATGTCGACAAAACTGTCGATAAAAAATTTCTAAATCTTTCATCAATATTCAATGTTGTATATTCTTTTTCGAGTATATATGAAAAAAGTGAAAAAGAGAAGGAGAAAATGAGAGAGAGAATAGTGCATTATCTAACTTACACTGCCTTATACGTTTGCCCTTCGGATTTTGCTCGTCCTTTTCCTTCTGAGACTTGGAATACGACAAGAAAGATACAAAAAGTGAAAGAAAAAACAATATACTAATCATAATTAGCATGGGACATCTTGAGATGTGTACATGAAAATTAAAATCAAGTTGGATTGTTCTTCTCATTAGTTAGGATTTCTCTGCAAAAAGAATCAACTAAAAATTTTAAAAAAGCTGAAACAAACAATTATTGATTTATTATTTATTATTCGTTCTCAGGTATGAACGCAATATAATAGGCATCAGACACATTCGCTGTATAGTACATTTACATACAGAAACAAGAGAGAACTACTACTGTCCGTGGTGTGCAGCATATAAATTGCTTTCATATTTCTTGTTCTCTTGCCTTTCCTTCTAGTCCCTTCTTGTCTCTTTCTCTTTTACCACGCCTAGTGTGCGAGGGAGCGCGTCACTGTTTGCATAACCATTCATTTCTGTCAATGACTTTTTTTGTTTAAAAAGGAAGAGAGGACAACGGTCATGTGTTTTGTTCCGATTTATGTCAAACATCTTTTTTTGTCATATGTTTTGTATTTTATTTTATTTTATTTATCAAAACAATACTTAAAATATAAACATTGTTCAGACATAAGTCAGATGTATATTGATCATTAGTAAAAAGATCAATACAATATATTAAACTCTTCAATAGAAGGTACAATGACAATTAGATAATATTTTATAACAAACATAGGCGAACATGAGAATTTCAAATGATTCAAAACAACGACTTATATAAACATTCTACTAAAATAAAAATGTGTTAAATTTCTTTAGGTTGATCATGATTTCTCAAATGATATTAGAATAACAGCTTAGCAGTTATCTATATAAGAAATCTTTTCCACCGTAAATTATTTCAAAGAAATGGCTTCAACACATTCTGAAATAACTGTCAACAACAGCAACGGCGAGAGTAGCGTCAACAAGACGCAGTCAGTCGTCGTTATCATCTTTTTTTTTTCTTACTGTTAAGATATGAAAGAGCGAATGTCTGCAAGGAAAGGACGAATGCAAAGAACTTTCATCGAATGCAGACAGGTGAAAATCAAGAACAGTATGGAACTTCTATTACATTGTCTCTTTTTTCAGCAGGGCGACAGCCGTTCCGTTCAATAGACGAATAGCCAAAAGAGAAAGTTTTTCCTTGCTTTTGAAAATATATGTACTGTGTGTGTGTCAAGAGATAGGAGAAGACAGGATGGAGACGGACGGACGAACGGACGAAGAGAAGAGTGTACACGTGTGGCGTGTTGTGCTTTCTTATGATTCCTATTTATTAACAACCGAAAAAACCTTTTTGCTTTTTCGTCGCGTCTCTCTTGTTCTCTCCCTCTTTCTCTTCTACTTGCTCGCTTGCCTCTGTATGTGTCCTCTTTTATTTTCTCGTGCAAGAGAGAGAGCAAGCATTACTTGCTTGCTCTCTCTCGCGCGCGCGTTTGCTGCTTCTCTCTCCCTGTGTGTCTCTCCTCCACCCACTACTAGACTACTACTACACATCGCGTCTTCTTCTCACCATCATCCATGCTTTCTTTTGTTTCGACATCGGGTTTTTTGCTTACAACACTTTTACATATAATGATGAGTATCATCGGACGTAATATACACTTTTCTTATTTTAAAGTAAAAATGTATTTTATACAATATAACGAATATTCAAAAAAAAATAAAGAATACAACAGATTTGTCTGGACATTATGCTTATCTTTCTTTCTTTTCCTCTCTCTCTCTATTCTATGAGCGCGCGCGCATATTGTTCGTCCTTCTCTTATGTTGTACGCACAAAGAATATAGTCGAAGATTTAGTATGAATGACGCTAGTTTAGTTTTCTGTTCTTTCTATATTTGTTTATTTTGAAAAGAGACATCGCATTCGTCGTTATTGTTGTTGTCTTTTCTTTCCGTGATGTATACATGTATATATACGTATTTACGTCAGTTCTGAACAAATGAAAAAAAAAACATCAATCGACATCATTTTCAATTATTCATTGTGACTTTTTCCTCAATTCTTTTTTTTACATTATGTGAATGTTTATTTCCATTCTTTTTCTTGTTGCTGCTCTTCTTCTCTTTCTTTTAAGTATATCACTAATGAGCGAGATATACATATCTATTTATATATATTCGTATATTTACTCGAAAATTTAAGGGATAGAAAGGATGCGAGAAGACTTTTTCTCTCATTTTGACCTCGATTGAACATTCGTCGTCGCATAATTATTCTCTTTTCTCTCTCTCTCGTTCTCTCACTCGTTCTCGCTTACTCGAGTAAGCGAACGCGCATAGCGCTCTATCCTAAAAAAAAGAGTGTGTTCTCCTGCTCTCTGTCTCTTTCTCTCCCTCTCTCTCTTTCGATGCACGCATAGCGCAATGTGATCATCCATCATTGCATAGCATACAGAGAGAAAGAGACGGAGAGAAGAAAACCGTAATGATCGCTTCTCTCCTCCAGCAAGCAAGAAGAAAGACAGAAGAGAGAAGGAAGACGGCGGCGACACAAGAGGAAAAAACAACAACAGGCGCGCGCTTTTCTTACGCACATACAATTGAAAATACACTACTCGAATTCGGAAGGCGGTAAATTTTTTTTCTAGATGATCTTCTCACCAATTACAACGATGAATACAGCACCATTAATCCCACCACGTGTACAATCACCGTCATTTATTCGTAAAAGAAATTTACCGACTCCTCCTCCTTCTTTTGCTGATGTCAACGATTCTTCATCATGTTCTTCTTCTTCTTCTTCTTCTGCCTATTCGACAACTACAACTACTAGCAGCACAACGCTTAGTGACAATAATAATACAGTAGCATCGTGTGATTTATTAAACATAATAACTGATGCTCGCTTTCGTCCAGTATTTCAAGCTATTGATGAAATAAAACGACGTAAATGTCGACCAGACCTTGAACGTATACTTAAATATGTTGGAAAACGATATATAAGCAATAATATTTCGTCTCAACGTGATGAAATACTTGCAATACTTGATGATTTACTTAAATTTGGTCTTATTACAAAAGTATTTCATAAAGGTGGCTTTACTATACGAATTAAAAATGAAAAATATGCTAAACTAATTGAAAAAATGAATATATGCTATAGTCAAAAAACACCCACAGCAACGCCAATGAGTCCACATGAGGCAATGGCTGCTGCTGCAGCTGCTGGTACCATTAATTTAAATGATCAACAATGGTCAATAACAAAACAATATTTATTAAATTCAAATGAAATGAATAATAATGATCATCATCGTCATACACGTGAAACACCATCACCTGAATTTGCTGTATTTAAAATGGGTAAGAAAGACATATTGGTCTTTTTCTTTTGTACTGTTCAACATACTATACTTACTATGACTTGGTTACATAATGGAGTCGCACTCATCCTATGATAGAAAGCGAAGAGAAGAGAAAAAAAAGAGAACGAGCGAAATCTTTCTTGTCGATATTCTCAACCTATTTATCCTAAAGGCTATGTTTTGTTTCTCAACATATCATTTCTTATCTATAGGTTTTGATAAAATTGTAATGAGAAGTTGAATATTTTAGAAGCATCATCACCTGTATATTCATCAATTGATCAAAATAATAATTCGGGAAAATTTCCCATGATAAAAGAAAATACTCTTACAAATGGATCTATTGTTATACCATCAACATCTTCAACTACAAAATCAAACCATAAACGAAGTCGAAATGAAACAATACCACCAACTGCAAGTAAAAAGCCATGTCTAATTAAAACGTCTGATTCAATTCTTTCATCTTCTCCTACTATTCTTCCTATTGTTAATAATCCTGATGAACATTTATTTCGTAAACCATCAATAACAAATAATAATTTACCACCGATAACAATTGAACAATTACTTGGATTGCGTGGTGATATACCTGATGTTCATAATTGGTCAACAAATGAATTAAATGAATTTTTTCATCAACAAGGATATGAATATGCGTCAATTGTATTAAATAAACATCATATTAATGGAAATAAATTATATGGACTTAAACGAGAACAAGTATTTCGAATGTCAACACTTAAAATTGGTAAAGCACTTAAACTATGGAATGTTATTGAACAGATACAACAAAAATCATTATCTTAATGTTTGAATAATTTTTTTTTCTTTTGCTTTTTTTTCGTGTGTTTATTTCTTTATATATGTATACCTGTATCTACGTCGATTAAAGTAAAACAGATTTGAGTCTTTCCAAAAAAAAAAACGAAAAGGAAATTTGTTCACGTTTCTTTTTCTTTTTGATTAATTTACAAAGAGAATTTCTCGGATAGTTACGTAATAATAGTTTCAATTATCAAAAAGATGAAGAATTTATAAAACGATGTGGAACAAGAGCTTTCATAAGATAATTAAAATTCATCGGTTTTTAAAAAAGATTTTTATATGAATGATCTATTTCTTTTTTTCTGTGAAAAAAAGATATTATGTGCAAATATAAACAATTGAATTGACAGAAAACAAAACTAGTAATATTATTAAACCAATTGATTGATTTCTTTCATAAATGTATCATATGTATCATCTGTTGATGATCAAGTCATCATTAAATGATGTTTATTTATTGTACGAGATACATTTTCCATTCGTGCTTTCATTTGAAGTGGTTCTATAAAATGTAATGCTGATTATTTCTCTGATAATATCTGATCCATTTTACATTATTACTACAAGTAGTTGTAGTTCCACCTTATTTAACTTCAAGTACAGTCAGAACAAACTTTATAATCCCTTGTCGTGCTCTAGAAAACCAATTGTATTACATGAAAGAAACATAACGGAAGAAAATATCTTATTTGAAGTTTACCTTCAAATGTCATGTTAGGTTTACTTGAAACAGAAGCGACATTAGATGTCACAGATGTATTTAGTAGTGGAGCATTTGAAGATAATGTTAGTTCGATATTTTGTGGCATTGATCATTTAAAAGATATAAATTATTATATTAAAAAGATCATTATTTATTTTACTTGGATATGCTGCAAAAAATGCGAAGCTAGAGATAGTGCTGATGAAAGTAAGTGCATCTCAAAAGATGTTTCACACAGAAATGAGTCTAAAGAATTGTTTGTAATACTAACTACGAGTTACTAGAGGCATAATAGGAGGTCGTTTCTATAAAAGAATTGTTTGAGATCCACTAAATGTATGAAGTTGTGTTGATTGAGACACAGTAATTGGTGTATGCAATTCTTGTATTTCTTTTTGAATATTATCACTTTAACAACTTCCAGATGTTGTTATTGAGAGAAATGATGATGAATTAGTAAAACGATTTTGTTGTCGAGTTTGAAAAGAAATTCTATGATATATTTCAAAGAGACAAAGCTTTACTATTCGATTTAACAATTTTTTTATTGATAAGACTTTGCTACTTAAAATCAATGATCGAACAAGTAGCATTCTACTCATGTGAACTATAAAAATAATGCGAACATTTCTTACATTATTTTAACGTTGATTTATTTTTCTTTCTACACTTTTTCTTTCAGAATACTTCGTGGTATATCCGGTACACCTGATGTAGATTCACGAGATAACTCCAGCATTGGAATTTCATCAATAGTAACACGTTGTGTTTATTTTACTGACTCTTTAAATGATGACAAGGTATTGAGCAAAATCGAAAGAAAGAGCTAAGTTATTTTGTCAAACCATGTTATTTACCGTATCCATGATCTTTTTATTATTCAGCTAATCATTAATCCATTTGTGAAATTAATTCAAGTTCATCTTTTGCTTTACAAATAAATAACATTCATTAAAATGTTTTTTGTTTTATTTATTTAGATAAACTCGACAAACTCTATCCTATGTTTCTTTTTTTCTTATAAAACTTTAATATTATAAGGTGCTGGATTAATAGGATTATATTTCATTCTATCACAATGCTCCATTTCACTAATGACTTTTCGGATTTTTTTCCCTGTAAGTAAAATTTGTCTAACTAATAAACGTTGTTTTCTAGATTTTTAATTCATTTTTTTTCGAACTTCTTTTTCGATGAAAAATGGAATTCAAAAATTCCTCTTTTCTTTTACATTTACCTTACAAAACATAAGAGCTTGATCTATGGGATTCAAATATTTCCCGTTTTTAGTTTTACTAAGATTTTTCCATCCATCGTTTTTTTTTGCTAATAAAAACAATCTACAAAAAATATGTTTCTTTTTTTAACAAGCACCAAATCCAAATATGTATTTATATATTTAAATAAATGTGAAATCACTTTTCATTATATAATAAGAAAAGAAAATAAACAATAAACCCAAATGGAATGTTCATATACACAATCACCCATAACGAAAGACATTGAATTCAAGTAAAGGCAGCCATAAATCTATAGAAATCTGTTTTGTAAGATGCTATAACAAATAATTTCGCTTTTTTTATAAAACGTAATTCTTTTAATTGATCAGAAAAACGATATATTGTATCATGAAAACGGGGTGGAACTTTTTCTATTGTCGCACGTAATGATATATTATATGATGCTTCATCTTCAATTAATAATGTTGATATAATTATTGTTAAAATTAAATCTGATATATCAAATACAAATACTTCAATTCGACTTTTTGATGTAAATAATGATGATATTGTTGATAATTTATATTGTACCTTAAATTGACAAAATTATTTTAGAAAACAAAAAACAAAAAACTTGAAAATTTTACTTGATTTTCAATTTTCTTTTTTGGTATTGATTTATTCATTGGTTCAATAAGATAAAGATATATGTTTAATTGTGCACCAGCACTAATTGGTTCATTATTTGGATTTAGTGATGTTGATGATGGAGTATTTTTTATTGAAAGTCCACTTGGTGTACTCAATGTTTGTTGTGGTAGCAATGGTTCAGTATCATTAAATAGATTAGATGATGTTCCACTATTATTTATATTACTTAAATTTGTATTATTACTATCCGCTCGATAATATTGAACGATTTGACCACTGAAGCAACGTTTGTCAGTAGTAACTTTACCGTTTTCATATGTACGAAAACGAAAGCCTTCATCAATTGAGCCTTTACCGTAAATTAAATAAGTATAACCACATGAAACACAATATTCGTCGAGAATTTCAAAATTCTATCAAAAGAAAACAAAATTTATGTGAGATTAAAATGTAACACATGACGGAAAGTTCAACAAAACAGGCAGATAGGTTTTTGTTGTTCAATAACTTTTAATAGAAACAAAATAGATATTTGTGGTCTTCGCTGTTGGAAACAATATATGTGGTCGCATCGAACTATTTATCAACTCTTACAAAAAAGGGATTTAACATACGGATGATTATCTTGTTTGGTGTCACGGATTGAGAGCCAACAATATTCTAATAACGAGTAATACGAGTTCATTGATCATTTTTGAATTTATTTCAAAAAGAAACTTGTGAATATTTCGAACTAATCTTCAATTCATTATCAACACAAATGACAAATAGCAAATGCAGAAAACTTTGTATACAACTATTGTTTTCTTTTCGTTCTTCTTTCTTTTTTCTCTAACATTGCAACGCACAAGCAAACGTTTGTCACCGCTTTACATTGGCAATGTTAAAGAAAAGAGAAGAAGAACGAAAAGAAAAAGAATAGTTGTATATCGTGTTTTTTTGTATTCTTTACTTGTCATTTGTGTTGATAATGAATTGAAGATTAGTTCGAAATATTCACAAGTTTCTTTTTGAAATAAATTCAAAAAATTCAAAAATGATTATTGAATGAAATTCACAGCAATATTTGGGCATATGAACTTATATTTTGGATGAAGAAAGACAATAGATCAGGCTTAATTTTTTTTTAATGGAAACGTTCAGAATCAATCATTTATTTGATAAGAAACAAGACAAACTTTAGTAGGCAGTCTTTAAGGTTATGAAGCTCGCAGCAACAAATTAAATTCCATTCATCATAATGCGGTTTCTACTCAAGAAAGCAGTAGCATGCTCAGAAATTTGTTCCATGAGGGACTGAACGATCTAAGGGGAGCTACTACTCTGAAAAAGACAACGATTTAGACTCGTAAAAATTGTTCGGCCTGTGCCTTCCTTGAGATATTTTTCTCCTTGTAGACAGCATTGATTCTCTCAATCCATCCCTTGGGACACGTTACTGAAAGCCAGCGAGATTCCGATGATGCTGCTGCTCTACACGTCTGATGGAGTATGGGTATACAAATCTTCAGACCTCTAAACATTATGCTGACTGAGACCCAAGGGAGGGAAAAACTGTTGTCCAGGACTGTAGACAGTTAGATAGAATATACTGTTTGAACCAAATGAAAATGAAATGAATGGATAGTTTATTAAGTAGAATCAGAGAATTTATAAAACAAGAAGAAATAAGAATATCCAAAATGATTTTCTTTTTTGTTGGAAGATGTATATGAAAGAAAACGTTCTTAAGTTAACGGAGAAAAGAAGACGATCTGATTTATTATTGACCAAAGACACAATTAGAGAAGAACAGAAAGAAAAGAAAAGAGAACGTCAAGTTGTTATATATGTATAACGATTGAGAGGAATACTTCTGACTCATTCGTTATGTAACATAGATTATATTCGTCTCGAGGAAATAACATTTTTTATTATTATTTTAAGATATCATTCTTACAATCTTCTAATACTCTTTGATTATCATCATATAAGTAAAACTTGAAAATTCTCTTAAACTTACCGATGGTAAATCATAGAAAGTATCAACACCGATACCATTTGTAACAAGTTCATGACGAAGACGTAATAATTCAACTGGATGACTGCCCAAACAAATTACTGTATCGCAAGGTTTAGTAGTATTCTATCGAAACAAAAGTAAAAATAATAAAATATATCTTAGAAACTTAACACAAACGAAGCAGAAAACTAACTATTAAACGAGTTGGACTTGTTGTTCGAGTTGTTGAAAGTTGAATAAAACGTTCCATATCAAAACTTACACCAACAACATGAGGTAAATCATTAGAAAGATTTTTTTGAGACGGTCGTCGAAAATGTGCAAGCTAAGATAAATAATTTATTATCAAATAAAAACAAATTAAATAAGCATTACTAATGGATCATATCGACCACCTCCAGCATAA